AGCTGTGAGACTCTCTGGGTTTTCCATTTGTCCCAGTAGGTATCTAAAAGGTCAGGCCATGTACGATTTCTCTCTTTTTCACAAAGCTGTGAATGCTTTGGATGCTATCTAGCACAGTGAAGCTGAACAGATTGTTTTGGGGGCTTTGGGAGCCTTTCTTCCTGCAGGGAGGCAAATGTTGCCTTAGTGATCTGCGTCTGAGCATAGGAGTCAGGAACTCTAAGTTCTAATCATGACTCTGTTTAGTATCTGGTTCCATGATCCTTAGCAAGGCACTTACCCTCCTATACCTCCACTCCCTTCCCCAACAAATGGTGATAAAAATAATGACTTATCACCCAGGGATGTGGCAAAGTGAAAGGGTAAGAAGGACAGTGATCCATAGATAAATGTCGAATATAAAATGTCAGTATAAATCTGCCTTTAAATCGACCCATGTTTTCAGACTGTGGAAAGCTACACTATTTAAATGCAGGCTGCCTCCCCAGTGCCCCTTCTGCCTGCAGTGGAAGTAAAATAAGCTGACTCCATGAAGCTCTGTTCAGGTCTTTTCCTCTCTAACAACTACATGCTTCTCTCTAAACATTCTGCTCATTCTTTGGTTAATGGCTTGGAAACCATCAAAGTTTCCATTTTTACTTAGTTAAAAGCAATGCATGTATCTGTAGGTAAGGATGAAACAGACAAAGGAAAGAGAAATCACCCGCCACTCCCTTTCACATCAATAGTTCAAATAGGGGCGCCTGGGGGGCTCAGCCGGTTAAGCGTCTGCCTGCAGCTGGGGTCATAATCTCTCAAATAAATAAATAAAATCTTAAAAAAAAAAAAAATTCAAATAAAAAAGTGATAAAGTCAGCTCAACAGAAACATGACAACAAACATCCTCCTGGGTTCTATCATCATTGTTGTTGTTCTCATTGTTGTTATTGTTTTGAGGCCCAAACACAGCACTGTACTGCTTTAAGAGAATGTTGATTCATCAATAATAGAAATTCTACATGTCCAGCTATCCATTTATTCATTCAAATGTTTTCCGAGCCCGTTATAAGCCAAGTATGTGCTGAAGACAGAGCAATGATAAAAACAAAGGCCCTGCCCTACAAAAACTTTAAGAGGAAAGAAAGATATTTAAATAAATCATTATGCAGACTTATGCACACATAGCAAAACAGTGCAATATGCTAAAATAGAAACCCCAAGTGCCATAGGAAGACACAGGAAATAAAATATAGTGACCAACGTGTTCCTTATCCCAAAGAAGTTCAGAGAGAAGATTGTGAAGCTAAAATTCCCAGGAGAAATACAGTATGATCAGTAAATAAAGAAAAAATATTAACATAGATAGTAAGATGTTCTGTGAAAACAGAAATAATTGGGAGGCCATGGAACCTAAAATTAAGACAGGGATTCTTTTTTTTTTTTTTTTTAAGATTTTATTTTATGTATTTGACAAAGAGAGAGACAGCGAGAGAGGGAACACAAGTAGGGGGAGTGGGAGAGAGAGAAGCAGGCTCCCCGCCAAGCAGGGAGCCCAATGCGGAACTCGATCCCAGGACCCTGGGATCATGACCTGAGCCGAAGGCAGACACTCAACGACTGAGCCACCCAGGCGCCCCAAGACAGGGATTCTTAACACAGGATCATGGATGGCTTCAGAGGGTCCATGAACTCTCTGAAATTATATGCAAAATATGTATATGCAAATGGACATTTTTCTGAACACAAAGATTGTATCTTTCATTATATTCTCAAAGGTAAAGACCTATTTCCTAGGATCTTATCCTAAAACCCAGTTTTCTATCTCTATAGAGGATAGTTTTAAGACCTAATCTTTTACCCAAAACAGGAGATCTGGGTAGCCTAGAGGTCAGAGAAGAGCTTTTGAATTTTCCGTAACTTGGTGAAAAATAGTGATTGCTAAAAAGAGGGCAATGAGAGAGGCAGGCCTTCTTCCTTTCCCTATTTTAGTTGAAGTTAGCCTAAATATATTTCCCCAAATACTCAGATACTATGGTGACTGGCACCATATAAATAGACAATGGCAGCAGGGAGAAGGTCAGGGCTTGTATCTATAAAACCAACAGAGCAGGCAGGATTAAACCCCCAACTAATACAGCTGCCTCATCCTCGTCCACAAGAGCACACCTGAATTTCCATATGGGAATTTGTAGGGGGACCTCTGGTTACCTCCCCAATAACAAAGAGTGACTGCAGTCAAACAGCACAGGAATAAAAATCACCATTCGAAGTGCAGTGATACTACACACCCACATTCCAAACAACAAAAGGCATTTGGGTCCTAGCCAACTGCTTCCTAGACACCCAACGGCTTCTGTGTGTCCAATCTAACAACACACGCCTTCCCAGTTTTATTTATAAATAAAATTCAATTAAAGTTCTCAGCATAGTATGGGCATCTATACACATAAGCATATTTACCACGGTGAGGTTCATACACCTCCAGCAAATCCTTAAGTCTAGAAGGCAAAGAGTAAAAACATGGGCATCCCAACATATGAGGGATACTGCCAGCCAAGGGGTGGGTGGATCCACCATAACCACATTTATATTCACTGATTGCAATATTATACGTTATTATGGGCTCTGATGCATCAGATGTAGTATAGTATTTTGCAACTTTCCTTAACACCTGCTGCTCGGCATCTCACTGTGTATGAATACAGGGAGCCAGGGTTCCAGGAGACTCACCCAGTCTATATAGGAAAAGGACCTAACCTCACTTGGCAGAGAACTCTAGTACAAATGCCTATGCCTCAGGAACAAGAAGTCATCCCAGCATCACAAAGAATCCTCATATACATCTCCTCTCTACCTATCAAGGCTTAGGATGCCAGTCAATCAGTCCTGAAATAGCACATAATTACGAACAGAGCTGCACATGACAGAAAGTACTCAAAGACATAAAGTCAACTGACCAACATAGGATAAAAATGGTCTCCTGCCTCACAATTTCCTAGCCAGAATGGGGAAGTGCTAAGATCAAGAAAAAATAAATACAGAAGACATCCTTAACCTCTTTAAAAGATAACTGACTCTTTAAACAAAAATGATGGCAATGTATTTTGGGATTTTAACATATGTACCAGTAGGATATATGACAACAGTAGCACAAAGGACAGGATACAAAGTGGAGGAAGGAGAGTAATGGAAAGCCCTGGGCCCCAGGGAGACAGACCAGGGTAAATGGTAAAAGGCAATGCAACAGAACAACGAGGAAGATGACCACAGGTGATGAGGATGGGAGAAGAGCCAGACAGATCCCAGGGACCAGAGACAGGATGGCTAGGATAGAAAGGAAAGAAAAAAGAATACAAGAAAAAATCAAACCAGAAGAGAATCAAAAGCAGGCAGAAACAACTATTACCACCAACTCGTTAGTACTACAATGGGTAAATTCATCCTAGTTATAGACATAAACCATTTGTACTTGTTATCAAGTCCTACAACTATTAACGAACATCCACAGATTTGGTTTTTTTTTTTTAAGATTTATTCATTTGACAGAGTGACACATTTGACACAGTGAGAGAGGGAACACAAGCAGGGGGAGTGGGAGAGGGAGATGCAGGCTCCCCACAGAGCAGGGAGCCTGATGCGGGGCTCGATCCCAGGACCCTGGGATCATGACCTGAGCCGAAGGCAGATGCTTAACGACTGAGCCACCCAGGCACCCCCATCCACAGATTTGTATCATTTTTGTGTTTTCTCTTTAATCCTAAATTTTTAGAACCTAACAATCATATAACTCTTCATGGACAACCACAATAGTCCTGTATATTAATAAGAATTGGTCCTACCTAGGAAATTCTACTAACTTTAGTCATTTCAATCTCTTCTGATCTCTGTAGATCTTCTGACATCCCCTCAGTCTCAAACTCTCATACAATCACACTCTTCTCCTAAAATACCAAAGTGCCACTATTACCACTTAGTGTTACTCTACTGTTCCACCCTTCACCACCATAGGCAGTAACTGCAAAGAACTTGCTAATCCATTAATTAAAGATCTCTACTTCCCATTATAGAGGACTAAATTTAGAAAGCCAAATTGGGTTGGGAGGAAACCATGTGTCACAACAAGTGAGATGAATTCCATGGAAGGGGGTGGGGTTAGTGGCCTGTTTCCTACGAAGCCTCTGACACTAACACACCCTCCTGTGCTGAGAAGCTCTTCCACGGGTGGGGCAACCATTCACACTATAATCATCCAAAGAAGACTTTATTGTACCATCAGGTCACCAAAGCCACAGGACCTATCAGCAAGCAAATGCCTCAGGGAGCATGTCTCCTGGCTTTCCTGAAACCTCCAATTTAGTTACACAAAGAAAGGGGTGGCAAGCCAGCATTAATTGTACCCTTAAAGAAGAACCACTTCCCGCCTGCAGGGGTAGCTGTGACTTTACTGGGCTACCGAATGGACACAAAGACAAAAGTAAACACTGTAATTTGCTGGTTTTGTCTCTGGCACAGGGGGAGTGGTAAAAGTGACACTGTCTGTAAACAGCAATAATGCCAGATGTAACACAAAGAACAGGATTCCCCCCCATCTCTCCACCCCCTCCCCACCCCCTCTCCCTATGACATTCCTCCAGAGATTACTCATCTTGAGGAAACACACAGAAGCCTCCCTATAGTCCATATGCTGCTACCACATGGAACTGAGGGAGAATCCAAGTTTGTACTGATTCCTCCTACCTCACTCTTATTCAAAGCAAGAATCATTAGAGCTCAAGATACGTTCAATTGTTTTCTACCAGCTGACAAAAACATACAGGGAGAAGAAATTTGAGAAGAAGTATGGAATAGATATGTGCCATGCCTACGTCTGGATAAGAACAAGGCTGAAATGACAAAAAGTGTAAATGAAAATAGAAGCATCCTAAACACACTAAAAACTTTTAAAAAAATTCATCTGTGCCTAGGCTTAGGGGCTCATAAAAGATCTAGGAAAAGAAGATGAATTCAAAAGAGAAAGTTACCTGACCAGAGTTCCCGCCAGGTGTAATGCAGGCGTACTCTACACTTCTTCTGGTAGCAAAGTAGTTTATGTACTACCTGAATGCAGCGTCTGTAACAGAGAAAAACAGGGATAAGCCTAAAAGTATGATGCAACTCACCACAGATACCCTTTTCTTTAGCAAGGCAGCTTTGCTAAGGCCACTAAAGATGCTGGAGATGAATTTGTACACATGTAAAAGAAAGAAACTTCAACTTTCTGATGCATAAATTGCCCCTCCACACACACACAATGCTTGTGCTAATTCCTTTTTTTTTTTTTTTTTAAGATTTTATTTATTTATTTGAGACAGAGAGAATGAGAGAGACAGAGAGCACATGAGAGGGGGGAGGGTCAGAGGCAGAAGCAGGCTCCCTGCCGAGCAGGGAGCTCGATGCGGGACTCGGTCCAGGGACTCCAGGATCATGACCTGAGCCGAAGGCAGTTGTTTAACCAACTGAGCCACCCAGGCGCCCGTGCTAATTCCTTGTATCACCAGGAAAAGAGGGCTATAATTGCATACAGGTCAGCAGTTGATTAGGTATTACAGATACTATTCCCTTGAGTATCTTTCCTCAGAGGAAAGCATACATCAATGGACCAGAATTAGACTACTCCATTCAATGTTGCAAATGTAGGATATCAAAATACAAAATTAAAGACCTTAAGTCTTCAGATCTTTTTTTTAAAAAGATTTTATTTGAGAGAGAGTTGGAGGGAGGGCAGGGGAGGAGCAGAGGGAGAGGGACAAGTACATGCTGCACTGAGTGAGAAACACTACGCAGGACGCAATCTCAAAACCCTGAGACCATGACCTAAGCCAAAATCAAGATTCAGACGCTTAACCAACTGAGCCACCTACGTGCCCCTCTTCAGATCTATTTAAATTTGTTTTTAATTTAAATTAATTTTTAAAGTAAATTTTGGTTTAATTCATAATTAACTTAAATTTTATTTACATTAAAAGTTGGGGCACCTGGGTGGCTCAGTCGGTTAAGCGTCTGCCTTTGGCTCAGGTCATGATCCCAGGGTCCTGGGATCAAGCCCCGCACTGGGCTCCCTGCTCAGCGGGAAGCCTGCTTCTCCCTCTCCCACTGCCTCTGCTTGTGTTCCCTCTCTCGCTCTGTCTCTCTGTGTCAAATAAAATCTTTAAAAAAATATTTAAAAAAAAATTTTTTTTTAAAGTTAAATCAGGGTGCCTCGGTGGCTCAGTCAGTTAAGCATCTGCCTTCAGCTCAGGTCATGATCCCAGAGTCCTGGGATCAAGTCCCACATCGGGCTCCCTGCTCAGTGGGGAGTCTGCTTCTCCCTCTACTCCTTCCCTTGGCCTGTTTGCATGTTCTCTCTCTCTCTCTCACTCTCTCTCTCTCAAATAAATGAATAAAATCTTTTAAAAAAAAAAGTTAAATTAAAAATTCACTCTTCAGTTGCACTAGCCACATACCAAATGCTCAACTACCACATGTGGTTAGTGGCTACCATAATAGGACAGCACAACATATAGAACTTTCCTATCATCACAAAAACTTCTACTGGGTGGTACAATTCTAGATCATTGGAATATTCAACATTACTCACATCACAATAACAAATATGTTTGGGAGAGTATTTCTAAATAAGCAGTTAATAGGTTGAGAGGAAAGACTTTTTAAACATTATAAACCTAACAAAAAATATTTTTTCATCTCTGATTGGGAGAGGGTTTTGAAAGCATAAAAAGCCATGGAGGATAGTACAAAGTAGAATACAGATGAAATTTACTTCCTAAAAATGAGTATTTTGTGTGATTTTTGAAAAAGTGATTACATTAAAGCCAAATCATATGGGAAATTACATTTGTAGCCAAAGACACAAAACCATTACTATGCTTAATGTATATGTTTATACAAATTGATAAGAAAAAATAGCATCCTGGGGCGCCTGGGTGGCTTAGTCGTTAAGTGTCTGCCTTTGGCTCGGGTCGTGATCCCAGGGTCCTGGGATCAAGCCCCACATTTGGCTCCCTGCTCAGCGGGAGGCCTGCTTCTCCCTCTCCCACTCCCCCTGCTTGTGTTCCTGCTCTCGCTGTCTCTCTCTGTCAAATAAATAAATAAAATCTTTAAAAAAAAATAACATCCCTAATAAGAAACATGAGCAAAGTAAATAGTCAACAAATCCCCCACCCCCCTAAAGGGGGAAAATATGGAAAGTTAACACTTTTCTACAATGTTCAACTTCACTTTAAATAAGCATATTAAAACAATATTGTTTTTATGTATCCAATTAATACAGATTTTAATGTTGATAAAGGTACAGCGAAACAGCCACTTATACGTTATCAAGGAAAGTATTACTGGTACACGGCCCTTTTAGGAGGCAATTTGGCAATCTCTTATCAATAGCCTTAATAACGTTTATACCCTTTGACCCACAAACACCACTCCAGAGAATTCAGCTTTACCCAAAATGCAAAAACTAAAATGCTTTAAACAAAAAGATGTTCATCATAATCTTATTTGTAATAAAAGAAAACTGGAGGGGAGCCTGAGTGGCTCAGTCGTTGAGTGTCTGCCTTTGGCTCAGGTCATGATCTTAGGGTCCTGGGATCGAGTTCCGCATCAGCTCCCTGCTCAGCAGGAAGCCTGCTTCTCCCTCTCCCACTCCCCCTGCTTGTGTTCCCTCTCTCACTGTGTATCTGTCAAACAAATAAATAAAATCTTTAAAAAATAATAATAATAAAACCGGAAACAACTGTGGAAATAACATCCAATGCTGAGAGAATAGCAAGTAAATCATTACACATACAGCAGTTCTCCCTTATCTGCGGGAGATACATTCCAATACACCCAGTGGATACCTAAAACTGTCAACAGTATCAAACCCTCTACGTTCTGTTTTTCTCCTATACATACATACCTATGATAAAGTTTAATTTATACACAGTAAGAGATTAACAGTAACTAACAGAGCAATTATAACAATATACTGCAATAAAAGTTATGTGAATGTGGTTTCTCTAAGTATCTTATTGTATTGTACTCAGCCTTCTTATGGTAATGTGAGATGATAAAATGTCTGTGTGGTGAGATGAAGTGAGCTGAATGATGTAGGCACTGTGACCTAGCATTAGGCTACTACTGACCCATGGTATGCAGAAGGAGGATCATCTGCTTCCAAACCACGGAAAATGAAATGACTGATAAAGGGAGACTACTGTATGTTATGTACTAAATTATGTTCCTTCAAAATTCATATGTTGAAACCCTAACCCTAACTAATGTGACTGTATTTAGATATAAGGCCTTTAAGAAAGTCATTAAAGGGGCGCCTGGCTGGCTCAGTCAGAGGAGCGTGCAACTCCTGATCTTGGGGGCATGAGTTCAAGTCTCACACAGGGTGTAGAGATTAAATTAAAAAGTAAAAAAAAAAAAAGTCATTTGGGGTGCCTGGGTGGCTCAGATGGTTAAGCGTCTGTCTTCGGCTCAGGTCGTGATCCCAGGATCTTGGGATCGAGCCCCACATCGGGCTCCCTGCTTGGCAGGGAGCCTGCTTCTCCCTCACCCTCCTCCTGTTCCCCCAGCTTGTGCTCTCTTGCTCTCTCTGTCAAATAAATAAATAAAAATCTTAAAAAAAAAAAGTTATTAAAGTTAAATGAGGTCAAAAAGGTAGAGCCCTAATCTGATAGGACTGGCTTCCTCATAAAAAAGGAAGAGACAACCAGGGATGCTTGCTCCCACACAGAGAGAAAAGGCCCTGTGAGGATACTGCGAGAAGGTGGCCATCTGTAAACCATGGAGAGAGGCCTCTGGGGAAACCAAAGGTGCTGGCACTTTGATTTTGGACTTCTGGCCTACAGAACTATGAGAAAATAAATTTCCATTGTTAAGCCACCCAATCTGTGTTTTTTTTGTTATCGCAGCCCAAGCAAACTAAAACATAGATATATAATGAAACCCCATAAAGCTCTTTTTTTTTAAAGGCTTATTTATTTTAGAGAGAGGCAGGGAGTGCACAAGCGGGGGTGGGCAGAAGGAGAGAGAGGGAAACAGACTCCCCGCTGAGCAGGGAGCCCAACAGGACCCTGAGATCATGACCTGAGCCAAAACCAAATGTTGGATGCTTGACCAAATGAGCCACCCAGGCAGGGCCCCATGAAGCTCTTAAAAAGCATACCATGAAGAATTTTTCACAACACAAGAAGATATTTATGTTACAATGGAAAGTGAAAAAACAGCATGCAAAATTATATACATTTAAATGTATGATAATGGTCACAACCATATTCAAGTATTAAAAAAAGATTTAATTTTGATTTTAATTTGGATGGTATGATTATAGGTGAATTCTATTCTTTCTCTTTTAATGTTTTCTCCAAATTTTCTACAACTCTATTTTTATAGCTAAGCAATCCACCATTTAAAACAAATTCATTTTTTATTTTTTTTAAGATTTTTATTTATTTATTTGTCAGAGAGAGAGAGCACAAGCAGGGGGGAGCGGCAGGCAGAGGGAGAGGGAGAAGCAGGCTTCCGGCTGAGCAAGGAGCCCGATGCGGGACTCAATCCCAGGACTCTGGGATCATGACCTGAGCTGAAGGCAGACGCTTAACTGACTGAGCCACCCAGGCATCCCAAAACAAATTCATTTTTAAAAAATTTTTAAATCCTCAAGGTACCTGGGTGGCACAGTCAGTTAAATGTCTGACTTAGTTTCAGCTTGGGTCATGTTCTTGGGGTCATGAGATTGAGCCCTGTGTCAGGCCTGGCACTCAGCATGGAGTCTGCTTGAGATTCTCCCTCCCTTTCCCTGCCCCTCCCACTTGTGCATACACTCTCTCTCTCCCCCCGAAATAAGTCTTTTTTTTTTTTTTTTTAAGATTTTATTTATTTATTTTACACAGAGAGACACAGCGAAAGAGGGAACACAAGCAGGGAGAGCGGGAGAGGGAGAAGCAGGCTTCCCACGGAGCAGGGAGCCCGATGCGGGGCTCGATCCCAGGACCCTGGGATCATGACCTGAACCAAAGGCAGACGCTTAACGACTGAGCCACCCAGGTGCCCTGAAATAAATCTTTAAAAAAAATTTTTTTACCA